TGGCGGGGAGGGCAGAGTAGCAGGGCTCAGTACTGTTGCGTCCAGTGGCTGGGGAAATGCTCTTTATCATTTACATAGAGGAACCCCGGGTACAGCTGGAGGACTCCACAATATGGGGTACAGTACCCCAACTTTCTTTCCGCATGCTGAATATACTGACTTCCCCCGGTACTCCAGGCTGGTACAGCAGGTCCAGGGTGAGGACGGGAAAAGCATGGAGTTTAGGGAACCATAAGGCAGACCCGTGTCTCTCTGATGGAGTTTAGGGAACCATACGGCAGACCCGTGTCTCTCTGACGGAGTTGAGGTCACTATATGCCAGACCCGTGTCTCTCTGATGGAGTTGCCCGCACTATATCCCAGACCCGTGTCTCTCTGATGGAGTTGCCCGCACTATATCCCAGACCCGTGTCTCTCTGATGGAGTTGCCCGCACTATATCCCAGACCCGTGTCTCTCTGATGGAGTTGCCCGCACTATATCCCAGACCCGTGTCTCTCTGATGGAGTTGCCCGCACTATATCCCAGACCCGTGTCTCTCTGATGGAGTTGCCCGCACTATATCCCAGACCCGTGTCTCTCTGATGGAGTTGCCCGCACTATATCCCAGACCCGTGTCTCTCTGATGGAGTTGCCCGCACTATATCCCAGACCCGTGTCTCTCTGATGGAGTTGCCCGCACTATATCCCAGACCCGTGTCTCTCTGATGGAGTTGCCCGCACTATATCCCAGACCCGTGTCTCTCTGATGGAGTTGCCCGCACTATATCCCAGACCCGTGTCTCTCTGATGGAGTTGCCCGCACTATATCCCAGACCCGTGTCTCTCTGATGGAGTTGCCCGCACTATATCCCAGACCCGTGTCTCTCTGATGGAGTTGCCCGCACTATATCCCAGACCCGTGTCTCTCTGATGGAGTTGCCCGCACTATATCCCAGACCCGTGTCTCTCTGATGGAGTTGCCCGCACTATATCCCAGACCCGTGTCTCTCTGATGGAGTTGCCCGCACTATATCCCAGACCCGTGTCTCTCTGATGGAGTTGCCCGCACTATATCCCAGACCCGTGTCTCTCTGATGGAGTTGCCCGCACTATATCCCAGACCCGTGTCTCTCTGATGGAGTTGCCCGCACTATATCCCAGACCCGTGTCTCTCTGATGGAGTTGCCCGCACTATATCCCAGACCCGTGTCTCTCTGATGGAGTTGCCCGCACTATATCCCAGACCCGTGTCTCTCTGATGGAGTTGCCCGCACTATATCCCAGACCCGTGTCTCTCTGATGGAGTTGCCCGCACTATATCCCAGACCCGTGTCTCTCTGATGGAGTTGCCCGCACTATATCCCAGACCCGTGTCTCTCTGATGGAGTTGCCCGCACTATATCCCAGACCCGTGTCTCTCTGATGGAGTTGCCCGCACTATATCCCAGACCCGTGTCTCTCTGATGGAGTTGCCCGCACTATATCCCAGACCCGTGTCTCTCTGATGGAGTTGCCCGCACTATATCCCAGACCCGTGTCTCTCTGATGGAGTTGCCCGCACTATATCCCAGACCCGTGTCTCTCTGATGGAGTTGCCCGCACTATATCCCAGACCCGTGTCTCTCTGATGGAGTTGCCCGCACTATATCCCAGACCCGTGTCTCTCTGATGGAGTTGCCCGCACTATATCCCAGACCCGTGTCTCTCTGATGGAGTTGCCCGCACTATATCCCAGACCCGTGTCTCTCTGATGGAGTTGCCCGCACTATATCCCAGACCCGTGTCTCTCTGATGGAGTTGCCCGCACTATATCCCAGACCCGTGTCTCTCTGATGGAGTTGCCCGCACTATATCCCAGACCCGTGTCTCTCTGATGGAGTTGCCCGCACTATATCCCAGACCCGTGTCTCTCTGATGGAGTTGCCCGCACTATATCCCAGACCCGTGTCTCTCTGATGGAGTTGCCCGCACTATATCCCAGACCCGTGTCTCTCTGATGGAGTTGCCCGCACTATATCCCAGACCCGTGTCTCTCTGATGGAGTTGCCCGCACTATATCCCAGACCCGTGTCTCTCTGATGGAGTTGCCCGCACTATATCCCAGACCCGTGTCTCTCTGATGGAGTTGCCCGCACTATATCCCAGACCCGTGTCTCTCTGATGGAGTTGCCCGCACTATATCCCAGACCCGTGTCTCTCTGATGGAGTTGCCCGCACTATATCCCAGACCCGTGTCTCTCTGATGGAGTTGCCCGCACTATATCCCAGACCCGTGTCTCTCTGATGGAGTTGCCCGCACTATATCCCAGACCCGTGTCTCTCTGATGGAGTTGCCCGCACTATATCCCAGACCCGTGTCTCTCTGATGGAGTTGCCCGCACTATATCCCAGACCCGTGTCTCTCTGATGGAGTTGCCCGCACTATATCCCAGACCCGTGT